AAATTCTTCTTCTTTATTTAGCAAATATAAAGGCATTATTTGTTTACCTTATTTGGGTAGTTTTTCTTATTTTTTAAAAAACTTTTTTTCTGTTGAAGGTTTTCTTTTAGTTTTCACTTTTGATAACACACTCAGTTCCCTGTTTTCTACCTTAAAATCAAAATCTCCGTCTGACCGAATCACCGATGCCGTTTATAAAATTAATTGTTTAGATTGTGACAGTTGTTATATCGGTGAAAGTTCCCAATACATTAGCAAGAGAATGAATCAACATATTTATAATTCAAAAAACCTAGACAATTTAAAACAATGTTTTCTGAGCACATTATTAATTTCAAACATTCGTTTAATACTGACCATCCTATAATTTTATATAAAGAAAAAAATGTAGACCTTAGAAGATTTTCCGAATCATGTTTCATCTTTTTACATTCTAATTGTGTTAACAAACGCAGTTCTTCTAGCTTACTCTCAGAAAGTTATCAAAATATAATTAATTTCTGTAAATCTGACGCCATACTACACCCCTGATATCCCTTCCCACATGCACGCGTGTTGGTCGCATAGCCGTCTACACGTCTCTCGACGCATTCTTAGTCCATTCGTGTTGCTATGCTTTGAAAACAAATAATTATGTATTTTATACATTTTTACATCTACCTTTTTCGGTCTTTTCGTAAATTATTTTTGTTTTCCTACAGTAGTGTCATGTGATTGTGGTGTTGTAAAATTGTTTTAGTAAAGTGGGTTTTTCCTGATCTGGTGTGTATAATTTGTTGTTTTTTCAATTAATTTTTCCATTGTATAAATTCATTTTTTTGAAACCTTTTCTTTATATTGTAATTTCTTTTAGCTGAATGATGAGACACATCTAGTCTCGAAACGTATAAAAAATAAATTAAATTGTTTACATTCGACGCATTGGCTGTTTTATTCATTTCAATATGTTTCAACGTCGAACAAAAAATCATCAAGATATATATATATATATATATATACATATATATATATGTATATATACACATATATATATATATACTAGCTGACCCGGCAAACGTTGTTTTGCTAAGTAAGGTATATTCTAAACAATTTCTAGAGAAAGAATTCCTTTACAATTAGGTAATATAAAAACAATAAACCCCATTAGTTTGTCTATATTTTGTCAATACAATCAAACTGGAAGATTTATACACTTTCTATAGAAAACATCGTATAATCCAATCCGAGTCTTTTTTGGTCTTTCGACTTATTAATTACGTTTCAAGTTTTTCAGATTCTTTTTGGATTCTGGATTTTGTGTATAATTATAAATAATACTACTGAGCTTATACAAAATTTTCAAATTTTTGCTAGGAGAGATAGAAAATGAAGTATTTCTTCTTTGACCTGCTTTTTAAAAAGTTTCAAGTTACATTCGATGAATTAAAGTAAATTTAATAAAAAGTATATATGTAGAGCAGGGCGAGACACAAAGGTCCAAATTGACTTTGAGCAAATATAAACTATATTGTGAAAACCATAACAATTATATCACAATAAATAACACATATCAAACAAACAATTATTTGACTACTTTCAGTAAACTGACTTCTACTTCATCATTGTAGAAATGTGCTTTTTTGATGTCTTTCAAAAATTTGTTATCTAGACCTTTTCACCCTATAGGGGGGTAACTTGTAACGGGCAGGTGGCAAAAGGTTTAAAGTCTTATTATAATTTTAAATGTATTTTACAAAATAATTACATTTTTAACTAATGCTAAAACTACCAACGAAAAAAAAAACTTTTATTATGGATTTTCAAAGATTACCGTTATCTCCCCCATTTCAAAGATTATCGTTTTCAAATCAAGGTTGTAGCTGGCTATACATCTTTTTTCCTCTACTTTCAAATATTGTTGTTAAACAATGCTTAACTTTACTGATTTTTGACACATCGGTGGTGGACCTTTTTAATCCCGGACCTTCATATATTACTATCTATTCTGCGATAAATTCTGGGAAATTATAACTGGTTATTCGACAAAATGTCCATTTGATCGATACCAAACTTAGGTTCTGAATTTAAATAACATAAATGAAAAATAATATAACCTAGAAAATGTTTTATGAATACCAATGAGAATATAATTATACAAATGAGATCTTTCAGAGCAACGTGTTTGAGAAAATATGCCAAAAAGTGCATTTTCATATTAACATATCAATAAAGTTTATATTTCGAGTCTCTAGTAACACTTGCGGCCCGTTTACTAACGTTTTTGTATATAAGTAAAACTACAAACAAAACTACTTACTAAAAATTTATCATAAATAAATAATATTCGCGTAAAATATCCTATTGAACGTAATTGAACATCATCTGTCAAAAACGTTTGACATTTCACGGAATAGCAACCGTCCATTGTTTTATTTAGACTGCGCTTCTACAAAAATTTTCAAATTAAAAATAAAAAGTTTCTACGCGGATTTGAAATAATTTCTCACCTTTTGGACTTTCTCTGGATTGGCACGAATTTTTCAAGACTAAGACTGGCCGAATCGATTTAGACGTTTTCGAGTTTTATTCGGACATTTGAAAGAGAGCTCCATTTTTATATATAAGAAGATATATATATATATATATATATATATATATATATATATATATATATATATATATATACGAGGTGTGTTCAAAAAGTACCCGGAATTACTAATAATTAAATTTCGCGGGTCTGGAGTGTCTGATTGTCAAAATTTTTTTTTTATTGTGTTGGTATACATGCCCCTAAAGTATGATGAAATTTTCAGCTATATTCACTGTTTACTTTGTCTGTGGTAGTCGCTAAGGTTCGACGTGTTTTTCTGAGCTCGGCGATTTTTACAATGGAAGAATTGAAAAGTCAAAGAATTTGTATTAAATTTTGCGTAAAAAATGAAATAAAGTGTTGCAAAGTGCAAAAATTCACCAGATATGGCTCCGTGTGACTTTTTCCTATTCCCAAAGTTAAAGAGACCCATGAAAGGACGGCGGTTTTCCTCGATTGAAGAAAATCGCTGAGAGTGCTCAAGGACATATCAAAAAGTGAATATCAAGGGTGCTTAGAAAATTGGAAAAAACGCTGGCATAAGTGTATTATATCTGGGGGGGACTACTTTGAAGGGGACCACATTAATGTAGACGAATAAATAAATATTTTTTTGAAAAAACGAAAATTCCGGGTACTTTTTGAACAGACCTCGTATATATATATATATATATATATATATATATATATATATATATATATATATATATATTCAATAGATGAGTCCTGGATTTTTTCAATTTATTGATTGTTTCTTTTCCGAACAGTAAATCCAACAATAAAAAACAAATTGTTTTTTGAAGATGTTTAATAACGACGTTTCAGAACTAGGTACGTTCCATCATCAGGTTTATTCTGTCAAATACAATGTTTTTTAAAAATATTGATTAACATTAATTAATGATGGTCAATACAGATTAATTAGAAAAAAATTTTTTATAAAGGAATGGATTATGTACCGGGGTAAAGAGTAATAGAATTAACTAAAAAAGGTTTTATATAAAATTGAGAAGCAAAAATTATTTACCTGTAATAATTTATATATCCATATCACTAATATTTTTTTTTGTTAAAAACACTCGATTTTTTGGAGGATATTTGTAGATGTTACGACTACACAAGACTTAAACAGACTGATATGGAGTTCTGTCGGTCAGATGTAAGGGACAATGTACGGAATTCTTGGCAAAAATGATTTTTTATGGCTCTTGTATTGGTAATTTACGAAAAAAGAAAAAATATTGCTTTAGTAAATGTTGAGAAATATTATGTATATATATATATATATATATATATATATATATATATATATACATATATATGCACATGCCTATGCACACCTACATACTCATACATACATATGCACAAATCTATATATTAATGTATCTACAATCATATACATGAACATATACGCAAGTGCATGTATATAGTGTATATACAAAAACATACATATAAGCACATATATGGATGTGCATATATTATAACACATATACATGTATATATATACATATTCAAAAATCATTAGGATTAATTGTTTTTAATCAGGTTTAAAAAATTTAGATACCATGAATGATATTGTGATCTGATCTTTTATTAACACTATTGGACGAATTCAAAAAGATTAAACTGCTTTCAGAAAAAAGTCTTAAAAGTACAATCCTCTCTATATAAAATATTGGGTTCAAAGGTAAAATTATGTGAGTTTTCAATGGAATGTTGGACAAGAGTGCTTTGGAAATTTCGACTTTTATGATGAGTGACGCTTAATTGATGTTGTCTCATTCTCTTATGAATGTATTGTGATGTTTGGCCAATGTATTGTTTTTGACAGTTTTTGCAAGAGATGGAATAAACTATGTTAGTATTGAATTTAGGAGGGGTGGTGGTTTACCCAACACACAACATTAGTAACTAAAACTAAGGAGGGTAGTCGTAACATCTACAAATATCCTCCAAAAAATCGAGTGTTTTTAACAAAAAAATATTAGTGATATGGATATATAAATTATTACAGGTAAACAATTTTTGCTTCTCAATTTTATATAAAACCTTTTTTAGTTAATTCTATTACTCTTTACCCCGGTACATAATCCATTCCGTTATAAATTTTTTTTTTCTAATTAATCTGTATTGACCATCATTAATTAATGTTAATCAATATTTTTAAAAAACATTGTATTTGACAGAATAAACCTGATGATGGAACGTACCTAGTTCCGAAACGTCGTTATTAAACATCTTCAAAAAACAAATTGTTTTTTATTATTGGATTTACTGTTCGGAAAAGAAATAATCATATATATATATATATATATATATATATATATATATATATATATACATATATAAAGGCATATAGTAAGTTTATCTGGCTATTAATAAAATTCATGATTTTATTTTTCTGAACTGAAAGAGCCTGCATGAAACTAACCTCAGGAAATGTTTCCTCATCATACCATTCAATCACTTCTAAATAAGCACATGCTAGTACCTCTTCATTCGTTTTTGGATGTTCGATCGTACCAACATGCCTTTGCAACCACATTTTTGTATAACGTAAGCAATCTTCCAGACCTTAGAAAAAAAAAAAATAAAAACAAATAGCTTATTAACTAGTTTATTAATACACTGTGCAATCCTAATAACCTTAATAACCCTAATAACTTGGTGATGGATTGATAATTGTTATTTTTATGGTAGAAAAGTCTTTTATTGGTAATGGAACTGATGAGGGTGAGGGGATATCTGTTTTCTAATAAAGTTTTGGTTACTAATGTTGTGTTTTGGGTATGAAAGAAAGAGTGAGACAACATGACTGCGTGGTCTATCAAAGAAATGATTGTATTGACTTTATAATTTTTGGGACAGTATGACGCGTAGTGAAGGTACCTTCCTGACCATGTAGGTTTTCTGTACCAATTTGTGCAAATAATGTTGTCAATTTTATGTACAGTCACGTCTAAAAAGTTCAATTTGTTGTTGATTTGTGTGTCATGTGTGAACTGAATGTTCTTATTGTAATTGTTAAAAGTATCGAGTATAATATCTGATTGTTCTTTATCTATTATAAAGAAAGTGTCATCTACATATCTAACATAAAAATATATTTGGAAATTTAATGTGAAGAAAACAGAAATAAGGGTTTGTAAAACTAGGTCTATGATGCCAGGGGATAATGGGTATTCCATAGCAGTACCTTTGATTTGTAAATAAAAATTATTGAAACAATTAAAATAAGAACAATTCAGGACAGTGTTAATGATGTGTTTGAAAGTAGTTATAGGAAAGTCGGTGTAGTTACAAATAGTGGGCCAGCGTTTTTCAATTGAATCAAGTATTAAATCATGAGGAACACATGTGATATATATATATATATATATATATATATATATATATAACTACATATCTATGTAATTTACCTTCTCTGCTTTTAACATACTCATTGAATTTATCTTTCTCATATTGAATACTATGCAAAATAATATCTGGTCTGGCTAGTTGTATAGATGTATTAGTCAAATCCAATTTCATCAAATCCAATATCTAAAATTAGAACTATATATTATCATAAATTTATACTGATTTCGCATACATACAGTTTAGTTGAATCTTTGTTATTAGTATTATGTTTCACAATGCCTACACTGCATTAATATTAATTATTAACTTCGCGTATGGTAAATTATAGTAATCACATAAAAATCGAAACTAGTGGTGTATGGCATCGTGCCCTGAGGCAAATTTCTAGAACTTCCCGTACCGTAACGAAATGTTCGAGGAATATTAAATGTTTTCAAATAGATTATTATAAATACTGTAACATTTATCTAATATTTATTTATAAGAATTATATAAACTGAATTACAAAGTTATTTATTCAAAGTATATAAGTGAAGCCAGAATTAAAATTGAAATTGAATTAGTTTCAATATAAAAAAAATTGACAATTTTTTTTTCCAAAAGCAATTATTTTGTTAAAACAAGCAGAAACTTTTTTGAATCTTTCAAATCGGACGCTTAGTTCACTCAAAAACTGCCATTTTTGCACATTTACCTCTGTATCTCCGAAACCACTGGACCCGCCTTTAATTTTTTTTTAATTTTTTTTTTCAAATAATTTTTTTTGTATATAGAAAATAATTCTGATTTTAATTGTAATTTTGACTTAAGTTCTAACATACTTTAAACAAATATTTTCAACATTGCAATTCAGTTTATATAATTCTTATAAATAAATATTAGACAAATGTTACAGTATTTATAATAATCTATTTGAAAACATTTAATATTCCTCGAACATTTCGTTACGATACGGGAAATTCCAGCAATTTGCCTTAAGGCACGATGCCATACACACCACTAATTTCTCTCAAAAACTGCCATTTTTTGTATATTTGGCCAGCCTTTTCCAAAAACTAATAACCATTTCTCCCAAATATTACTAATTGAATGTTTTTTAGATCATTCAAATCGGATGCTCCGTTCTCTCAAAAACTCGATTTCTATTTTCTGCACTCTTTTCTATTTATCTCCGTAACGGATGGACATGCCTTTGCCAAAAACTAATCAGCACATCTCCCTATCAATAGGAATCAAATGTTTTTTCAACCATTCAAATCGGTTGATCGGTGTGCGCGAAAACGTGAACGAAAAAATGCGGACACACAAAACACACACACATCCATTTTTTTCTGAAGTATGCCAACATGTTCAGAAACCTTCAAACCGTCGAGAAATGCAAAAATTTTCATTTTCGATTTTTAGACGATTACAATAACTTACCCTACGGGAAGTTAATAAACGTTTTTGCATGTCTTTGAGATTTAATACCTCCTGAACGTGCAAATTAGTTTTTGGCAAAAACAGGTTCAGCCGTTTCGGAGATATAAAGAAAATAATGCATTTTACCAATATTACCAGAGTGCAAAATTCATTATGATTTTGCAGGTCAGGTCCAGCGGAGTTGCGGAGAAAAAAGTTAAATAATTGACATTTGGTGTTCTGAAATAATTATTACAAATCATTATTATTGAATAATTCATGTACGAGGTGTATTAAACAAGTACTAGAAACATTTAAATTTCTCTGGTCGGGAGAGTCGTATAGTCATTTTTTTCTATTGTGTTGGTATACATGCCCCTAACTGTATACTTTGTCTGTGGTAGATAGTATAGTTCGTCGTATTTTTATGGCTTCGAAAATAAACGCAGTCCTTTCGTTGGTTTTTTGAACTTTGGGAACAGGAAAAAGTCACACGGAACCATATCTCAAGATTATGGAGATTAAGGCATGACTACGGTATTGTTTCTAACTAAAAAATTACAGACAAATAACGACGAGTGAGCAGGTGCGTTAGCAGTTTTATTTTGCTGACACTCGTTTCATGTCCAAAACTTAAATGTTTTGACATGAGCCAAATGATATGCCACCTTCATCAGCAACTTCTCTAATTGTGTTTCGGCGATCATTCATAGCTATTTATTCACATTTCTAACTTTTCTTTATTGGCCTCGCTTACTCCAGCATTTAGCCACCTATAACAAATTTTAATTTCAATACAATATTTCAATTTCAATACAATCTTCAATTTCAATACTATTTTCCTTATATAAATCCTATTCTTCTTTCTATTTTATATTCTATCCTATTCGTAAAATTGAACGTAACTTCATTGTTCTTCTTTTTAACTTCCCGAAGGAGAAGTTTATGTTTTCATCAAAAAATCCGATTCGGTAATTTTATGTTTTCTCGACGTTTCAAGCCATTCTGAATCGAATGAGACCAAATTTGGAAAAGGATGTGTGTGTGTGTGTGTGTGTGTGAACAGATTTTTTGCCGTAAATCGACGTTTTCTCCCAAACGGCTAAACCGATTTCAAAAATTTAAAAGCCATTCGATGTATCTTGATGAGTACTAGCGTTTCTGAGTTTTGCGCAACGATCGACTGAGCCGTTTCTTTGTAAATCGCAGAAAAGTGAAAAATTTTTCGTCTACGTTTTAGCCAGCAATTCTGAATCGATTTTGAAAATTCAAAAACGATTCAAAAGATATTGGTTGGGAATCGTGCTCATTAGTTTTTGGAGAAGATCGGCCGGGTCGTTTTCTTGTAATAAAGTGCTAACATATTTTTTTTCGACGATTTTTATTATTATTTTTTTGACGGTAGATACCATAGTCTTCTAGATCATACTAAAATATTACGGCCCTACGACAACTCGTTTAGCATCAAAAATTCGTCAAAGTTTGCAAAAATTAGTATCGTTTTTTTGGCATTTGTAAAAATTAGACCTTTCATCAGATTTCATAAATTTAAAAACCATTTGATGTGTCTCAATGAGGAATATCGCTTGTCACTTTTATGCGACGATCGGCCGAATCGTTTGGTGCAAGCCCAGTCATTTGGTGCAAAAAAGCTGTTAACTTAGAAGCTTTGCGAAAGTTTTGAAAAGTGGTGATCTTATAGATTTTGATGTGATCTTTACGAAATTCAACTTTGCAACCTAGAATTTTTGCCGCTGCCGCCGCCATATTGAAAAAAAAGCGTCAAAAATCAGTTTTTCAACAATATCTTCTTTCCGACTCATGTTACAATAAAATAACTATATACAAAATTAAACTAGTGGGGTGTATGGCATCGTGCCTTAAGGCAAATTGTTGGAACTTCCGGTACCGTAACGAAATGTTCGAGGAATATTGAATGTTTTCAATTAGATTATTATAAATATTTTAACATTGTCTAATATTTATAAGAATTATATAAACTGAATTGCAAAGTTGAAATTATTTGTTCAAAGTATATTAGAACTTTAGCCAGAATTAATAATAAAATCTGAATTATTTTCGATATACAAAAAAAATTTTTTTTTGACAAAAAAAAGTAAAAAAAAAAATTATAACAATTTTTTTTCCAAAATCAATTATTTTGTTAAAACAAGCAGAAAGTTCTTTGATTCATTTAAAAACTACTAAATGACTAAATGAATATATCTTTACGTTTAAAAGGTTTCTGAATATTTTGGAATACCTTAGAAAAAATTCATGTATGCGCATGTGTGTATGTGCGGATACAAATTTTATTAATTTCGATACAAAATAGTCAACAACCGCGAGTAACTGATGAAGTTAATGAGATAAAAGGCACTACTGAAAACATTAAACAGGTTACACCAAAAGAAATTAAGAGACAAATTTCACTCTTAAATAACAAGAAATGTCCAGGAATTGATCAATTGGATGCTAAAATTTTGAAAGAACTGCCAAGAAAAGGTCTAATAATGCTGACTTATATATTCAATGGAGTGCGGTATTCATCGACGTAAAACAAGCATTCGATAAAGTGTGGCATGATGGGTTGATAGCCAAAATTAAACAATGCTTACCAAATCAATTATATAAGTCATTCTTGACTGGTAGATACTTCAGGACAAGAGTAAGAGATGCAGTATCAGATTTTCACCCAATAAAATCGGGAGTACTACAGGGTAGTGTATTAGGACTGGTTCTATACACAATATATACACACGACTTACCAACACATAACAACACAATCACGGGTACATTCGCGGATGATACAATGATCATGGCAACACATCAAGATCCAGTAATCGCATCTCTAAACTTACAAGAACATCTATTCGCACTTGAAGAATGGCTCAAAGAATGAAAAATAAGTATAAATGAAGACAAATCAAAACATATCACGTTTACAACAAAAACTCAAAACTGTGAGGCCGTATTTATAAATAACATCGAAATTCCTCCTAGTACCAGCATTAATTATTTAGGGCTACATCTAGATAGAGACACGGTATCGAATAGAAAGTATCGATACTTTTTTCGTGTCGCTATTTGTGGTTATTAAGACAAAATATTTGTACACAACAAAATTTTCTTTTGTCTCCAATATCGTTATTACAAGCAGATAAGCGTAATATACAACAAATAATAATTAATATATAAATAAACTATTTAATTATTAAATTTTAATTAAGTGTATATAGTTTTTAGAAATAACAAATAATAATCCTTCGAGTCGGATTTGAACCAGCGGCCTATGGATTTCAGCATTGGTTTACATTCTACAGTCCACCGCTAGCGACACGAAAAAAGTATCGGTACTTTCTATTCGATACCGTATCCCTGCATCTAGACCGTAGACTCACATGGGGTCTCCATATCAAACAAAAAAGCAAACAAACGATAAAAAAATTCAAACAACCATACTGGCTTATTGGCAGAAAATCGAAAATGTCTTACGCATCAAGACTTTAATATACAAAACCGTACTAGTGCTAATATGGAGCTACGGAATAGAATTATGGGGATGTGCAAGTGCATCAAACATAAAAATCATACAGCGTACCCAGAACAAAATATCAAGGGCAATGGTAGATGCGCCTTGGTACGTAACTAATGAGACCATTCATAGGAACCTGGAAATTAAAACTGTGAATGAAATTATAAAGACCCGGAGCTATTCTTACCACAACAAAATCGATGATCATTCGAACGCTGAAATACAAATCATCAACAAAATGGTTCAA